AGGGGCAGTGACCATAGCCATTTTTAACTTATCAAAAGCTTCTTGTGCTTCCTCATGCCATGTGAACGCATCTTTTTTTGTCAAATCAGTGAGTGGTTTCGCAATACTTCCATAGTGTCGAATGAACTTCCGGTAGTAACCCGTAAGACCCAAAAATCCACGTTAGCCTTTAATTTGTTTAGGAACTGGCCAAGCTAACACTGCCTCAATTTTCTTTGGATCCATGGCAACCCCCGCACCGTTGATAATATGCCCCAAATATTCTACCGATTGTTGACCAAAAAAACATTTCTTACTATTAACCACAAACTGATTTTGTTCCAAAACTCGTAAGGCCACTTCCAAATCGTCTAAATGTTTTTCCCAAGTAGAGCTATAAATTAGAATGTCATCGAAAAAAACCACCACCATTTTCCTTAACCAAGGACGAAAAATGTCGTTCATAACGGCTTGAAAAGTGGCGGGGGCATTCGTGAGGCCAAAAGGCATCACAAGATACTCATAATGTCCGTCATGAGTGCGAAACGCCGTCATTTCAATGCTGTTTGGATGCATCCGTATCTGATTGTAACCGGCTTCCAAATCGAGTTTGGAAAAGAATTGAGCTCCATGCAATTCATCAATGAGCTCTTCCACCATGGGAATTGGAAACTTATCTGCCACCGTAGCCTTATTAAGGGCTCTATAATCAACACACATTCGCCACGTTTGATCYTTTTTTTTAACCAATATCACCGGACTTGAGAAAGCGCTCTTACTTGGACGAATCATTCCCAAAGAAAGCAGTTCTTGCACCTGTTTTTCAATCTCCATTTCTGCACATGTGGGTATCGATACGGGCGCACACAAACAGGATCATGGGAATTGTTGAGGGTAATAACGTGATCATGAACCCTTGCCGGAGGAAGACCCGAAGGGGTCTGAAAAACAGCTACAAATTGTTTGAACAATAATTGTAGCGCCTGCCCTTGAGTAGTGGTTAAACTATCTCCGAACCGAGTATCCATCGAGGGCAAAGAAAGGGTGGTAGTATCCAGACCCTCCGAGCTAAACAACCACTGTTGTAATTAATCAAGGGACCCTTGAGAGGCTATCTTTCCTTGCAACGAAACTGAAACCCCATGAAAATTAAATTTCATCCAAGATTTCTCCCAATTATGAATCACTTCTCCCAACGTTTGAAGCCAAGCCATTCCCAACACCACATCCAGTTTCCCAGCATCAAAAACTAAAGCATTCACCATAAACTCATATTGTCCCATCATTAATTGAAGGTTAAGACATTGTTGATCAACAACAACAGTATAACCATCACCCAAACGAATATTAATTCCTGAACAGTTATTAAATGGCAAGGTTAAGGATGTTACCAGTTGACGAGAGATGAAGTTATGAGTCGCTCCACTATCCACTAAGATGGAGACGGGAATGTCTCTAATCGTGCCATCTAATTTCATCATCTTGCCGCCTGGTGTAATCACTGCGGAAACACCGAAAAACTCCAAAGCTGCACACATGCCGGTAGGAATTTGCTCCTCATTTGGAAGAATCTGTTCATTTTGAGACTCCATACAACAAACATCACCCACATCTAATCCACCCTCGTCTTTTCCCAATAATAACACCCGGAGTTTCCCTTATGGGCATTTGTGAGTTGGGCCATACTGCTGCCCACAGCGGAAACATAAGCCTTTCTTGCGTCGCTCCTCCCATTCTGTTCGCGTAAGGGAACGAAATCCTCGATCCCGCTGAATATCGTTTGAGCCTTGGGAAATCGGAGGAACGGGAACCTGGGTACGATTTAGAAGAATGGAAACGATCCATACTCTTGGGTAATGGGCTTTTAGCCTCCGTACGGCCCATTGGCAAGGATCGTGGCTCACTTGGGCTGAAACCGGAACCCAATTGGTATCGGAAACGAGATTGAGATAAAGTACCCGATGACGGACGCAACATCTCTTCCACATCCTTCGCCAAGTACATAGCATTCAGGCGCGATTGAGGGCGGTGCAATCGAACCCACCGTTTGACCTCATCTCGCAATCCCGCTACAAAATACCACAAGGATTGCGATTCTGGTAATTTGGGAACCAAGGAGAGTAAGTATTCGAAATCATCTATATAATCATGAATGGAATCAGATTGTTTGATGGTGGCGAGCTGCTCATAGGGATTTTGGATTTCTATTCCACTGAATCGTTGAATTAATTCTACCTGAAACTGATCCCAAGTGATACCCTCGTGAACTTGCTTAACGATGGTGAACCAGTGTTGGGCGACTCGTGTCATACTCAGTTGAGCCAGACGGAGACGAAGATGGACAGGAGTAGCATTGATGTCAAAAAACAAATTAGCCTTTTGAATCCACCCTTGAGGATCAAACCCATAGAATTCCGGTAACTTAACTTTCTTCATAGCCCAAGGTACCCCACTGGATTCATTGAGAGGAGGAACAGCTCCCCCACCAGCTCCGTTACCACTGCCGCCAGACTCGAAGAACAGACCTGAATGAGGGTTGCGAGAACCCATGCCACCACCAACCTCGTGTTGATTGCTCTGTTGTTTCATCCACCCCAGCACCACTTGACGGAACTCAGCAGACTCCGCCCTATCCACCTCCAGTGATTGCAGAACCAGTTTAATTTCCGTAACCTCCATCTGAAGTCGCTGGAGCTGCTCATCATGTTGCTCCAATCGGGATTGTATAGAACGGGTTTCCATTAACAAAGAAGCAAGTGATGAGGATTGAAATCTTTATAATAGCTATCGGATGAAGTAAGAACACATTGAGAGGAAGGAATTGATTTAATTGAAATCAGAAATCGAAAATTACAATCATAACTCCAGGGATGATCCCTCTCTCACAATCTACTGGATTGGAGCCCAAGACAATGGAAGCAGAAAAATAACAGAATGCATAAAAAAGAAAACCTCCTTCCTCTTTTATTCTCTTTCTTTTAACAACCTTCAGCCACTTTTGTCATTTACCCTTTTGCCCCTTCTAGAATATACGTGTAATATTCTAGGTATGTTGACTCATCTTTAGATAATTCCAATTCCGTATCACATTAGTAATAAGTTCAAACAACTCTCAAATGGTAGAAAAATTAAGCATGCAAATATCAGTTATAAACTCAGACCATGCCTTTTGGTTTGTTTATATAACAATCACTTCCTCTTTCCATACCGACCTGGGAAAACTACGCAATTTTAAATGGTGCTGAAAGTGATATCTAAGTTCACAATTGAAAGTCAAAATATTAAAGCAAGATTGTTTATTAACCTCCAATAAGAGTAAAACAAAGCTAAAAACAGCACAGAACTTCTGCACTTGTATTATTAAGGACTCAACAAATATCTGCTGGTCTTCAAGTGGGATATCTCAGCAGGAATGAGGAACTCTCTAAGTGGAATAGAGGGTGCACAGTTCAGAAACACATGCGAGTATATGTTCTTGTGCCCCATTATAGTTTCACTTATTTTATTGTTGCATTCCACGGGCCAAGTTAAGAGATTTCAAAAGCCATACTCGTGTACTACTAACAAGTATATGCCCAAATTTCTGTTAGCGTAAGAGGTCTTCATCTCCAACTTCCTTAGCAACAGAGTGAACAAGAATAACATATGCATCAAACAAATGTTACAAAGAACAAATGAACTCAAGTTCAAACACATACACGGTGCTTCTCAATAGCCGATTGCCTCAATGAGCTATCAAATCTCTTCATAGGTGTCTGTGGGTCCTGTAGTTAAGGGATTGTTCTTTAGATTGCCCAGGAAAGTAATCTGCATTTTGAAAAGTTAAAATGACTGAATCTTCTAACTTACATGGTGGCCATTCTCTGGACCCTGCAAAGGCATTATGATAAAAATATTAAGATATATTTTCTATAAAAGGTCCAAATAAGACTCAGTTGTACGCTGTGGCATGTTAACCTTAGATGAGAATGAGAAACGTCCTGACATCCTTTTGGAAGCTGATGATAGCATGATTTGCTGTCGCAGAAGCTGGTTCTCACCCTCCAGGTCAGTGATCTTTTCTTGAAGACTAAAGTAAGAAGAAGACATGAGGAACCACATAACCAACCAACCGAGCACAAGTCACTAGTTCAGCTTCAGATAGTGGAGATAATATTTTTTATAAGAACTAAGAAACATAGTGAAAGTATGTTGCTATGACCTTTGCATTGTGTTTCTCATTTCAACTATCTTTGATTCTGCTTCTGTGGCCTGCTTCAACCTCTCTTCACTCACCTTGTTGCTCTCTTCATATTTTTTTTCTGTTTCATCAATTTTCTGTTCCAGTGAACTAACCATGTTCTGCATGTGTTCCAAAAGACATGGAATGCAAGAAATTTCAGTTATGACCTTCAATGCCTCACAAGTGCGACACAAACAACTACAAAAGCAATTATATGTGTTTGACTTTATAAACTCTACCTTGAGTTTCTCATTTTCAGCAGTAAACTTTTCGACTATCTCCTTGTTTGAAGCCTCTTCACCTGCACGAAGTTGCTCAATTTCTTTCTTTGCAGCCTCTTGTTCCTTCAAAAGCAGTTCTTTAGCATGTTGGGATTGAGCTTGCATCTCTTGCAGAACAGACTGCAATTTCGCACTTTCCTGATTTTTAGCCTCCTCCACATCAGCCTGCAAAATTAGAAGTAAATGAAATGATAAGAGAAAAACACAAGAAAAATAAAGATAAGTTAATCTACAATTTGTCTACTCTCTGTATCCGCGTGTCAATGAAGACATCAAATAAAATTCAACTTCTGTGAAAAACATCTATAGCTAGTTAGCTACTGATGTGAAGTTGTCTTTTATTACATGTCTATAGCTCAACTATGTCGAGTGGAAATAACTACAAATTAATAATTCAATCCTAGAAGCTACTATGTGGCACATATCAAGTTGGTGCCAGGTAGCATGTCATATTCGAACAAATGCAACTCACAACAAAAATCTTATTGGCAACGAAAACCAATGCCGACCAAGAAAATTTGATTCTTGGAGGAGGTAGGAAATATCTTTTATCTCACACTGTAAAAAATCAATTTGGTGTTCCTATAATCATGACAATGTGCAAAACAACACCAAGGGGTGGAACACAAGCCTTCTAACCCCAGGGACCGAACCTAATCTTTGTATACAAATGGATCACATAAACAAGTATAATTTGCTTTGATGTAATAGATATGTATTTTACAAACACAAAACACACATTATCCGAAGTAACATATTAAAACTCTAAAACAAGACAAAGAATTAATAAAATCTACATACATTCTTCATCAAAGCAAACTTGTCGATTTTTTGTGGCTTTGAAATCTTGCACAATTTTCTTCAAACAAAAATTTTCAGCAATTTATTTTTCGGTAAACAAAACCAACGAGCCATTTAAAAACACCTTCTATTTTATGTTGCATTTAAAGTCTTTGAACATTCAATTTAATGATATAAGTTAAGCCAAGAAGCTTAAAAGCTAAGTTTATGAGTTTCTCGTTCGGTTTCATGATTCAATCTTGATTCACATATCAATTATCAATCAAAAATAACAATTAACAAATTGTTTCAATAACTAAAATCTAGCAAGCCTCAAAGTATTCAGACTCACAAACAATCACTAAAATATTTCGCCCTAATTATATAACAAGGAATATTTATTCCTAAATAATCACAAACAGAAAAGCCCAATTAAAATAGTAATTAAAGTTATGCATATAGGTCGAGCAAGACATGGCTGTTTATTAGCTGCCAATAAGTATATAAGGTTAGGATTTATCAGCAAGATGCTGCCCACTCAAAATTCATTGGATGAGTTCCTGGATCAAATCAAATTTGATCTTGGAGGAGAAAGGAAACCTCTTTACATCTTACAGTGGGAAGGATCAATACTCCCATACTTCTCATAAAACATCCATGCAAAAGTAATAATCCCTATGCATATAGTTTAAGCAAGACATGAAGAATTTGAGATCGTGTAAGATCACTTTCCTTAAGAAATATTTCGATCCTTTTCTGTCTGGGTTCCACGAAATTTTCTCGAGGATATAAAACTATAAAAAAATCGTAATGGTTTGTGTGCAATAACATAGGCATGTCCAAAACATACAAAGCTTCAACTTCTGTACTCTACATGGGAAATCACTCTACGGCTCAAGTTAAAGGAAAAGGGAAGGTAACTTTGGAGTTCGCACCGGGTAATACCTTGACCCTAAATGATGTTCTCCATGTTCCCGACATACGCAAGAACTTGGTACCCGGATCCCTCCTCAAAGGTACCCGGATCCATCCTCAACAAACACGGCGTCAAACTCGTCTTCGAATCCGACAAGTTTATACTCTCCAAAGGCGGAAAATTCATCAGCAAAGGCCATCTCACTAGAGGAATGTTTAAACTAAACAAAAATTATGTTGTGAATAGTAGTATGAATGATGTACATATGAGTGACTCAAGTGACGCTAATCATGCGATTGTTCCTATTATGATGCTAACAAGATAACTACTTGTTCTGCTTACTTTGATTCTTCTTTATTATTATGGCATGGTAGATTAAGTCATGAACATTTTAAATGTTTGAAAATATGGCAAAAAAATGATCTAATTCCAAAACTAGATGATAAAAATCAGAAGTGCCTTAAATTACTAGACAACCTTTCCCTCAAATTCAAAGATCATCTAAAATCGTAGACTTGGTGCATAGTGACATATGTGACTTACATACCACTCCTTCTCTTGATGGAAAACAATATTTTGCCACTTTTATCGATGACTTTTCACGATGTTTCTATACATATCTTTTGCACTCGAAAGATGAAGTCCTTGACAAGTTTAAGATCTACAAAAATGAAGTAGAACTTAAATGTGAAACAAAAATTAAATGTTAAGGACGGACAGGACTAGTGAATATTATAATCCTAGATATTTTGAATCTATGGGAATTATTCTCCAAGTAACGGTTTTGTATACACCACAACAAAATGGTATAGGAGAAGAGAAAGAACCGTACGTTGATGGAAATGGTAAATTCCATGATGTCATATTCCGGGTTAAGTTTTGGATTTTGGGCAGAAGCATAACAGTTTGCTACATACTTAATAGAGTACCAAGCAAGAGAAGTCAAATGACCCCTTATGAGTTATGGAATCAATGACACCTAAGCTAGATTATCTTTAGATTTGGGGATGTGGAGCAATTATAAGACTTCCGAAGAAATTTAGGAGAAAAAGGCATTAAGTATATATTCTTAGGAATATGCACAAAATAGCAAAGCCTATAGAATCATGGTGGTTGAGCCAAATGATCAAATTTCGATTAACACCATCATAGAATCTAGAGATGCTTATTTTGACGAACAAAGGTTCAAAAGCTTTCAAAAGGCACATGAGATTCTAAGGAAGTCATGTCTACAAAATTCCCATAAATAATGAAAGGGAAGATGATGATTCAACCCCAAATCATCAACTACAAGAACCTAGAACAAGTAAATGCCAACGAAGAGCAAGAACCTTTGGACATTTTGAGATGTACTTAGTTGAAGTTGATCGGCATGGTTCCATAAAAGAATGCCCAATAATTAACAACCTCATTCATACATACTTAGAAGCAATGAAATCTCATGATACATCTTTTTGGAAAGAAGCAATCAGCGATGATATGGATTCCATCAGAGGTAGCAATACTTGGGTCTTTGTCGACCTACCCCTAGTTCGGAAGCCATCAAGAATAAATGGATTTTAAAAGGAAATTAAGAGTTGATGGCACCATTTAAAAGTTTAAAGCTCGATTAGAAGCTAAGGGCTTTACACAAAAAGAAATACTAGATTATTTTGACACATGCCTCTGTAGCACGAACAACAACCATTAGAGTTTTGATTGCCTTAGCTTCAATTAATAAACTCATACTTCACCAAATGGATGTCAAGACTGCATTCTTGAATGGTGGATTAGAGGAGGAAGTGTGTATGGAACAACCCGATGGTTTCATAGTTCAAGGACAAGAAAAGAAAGCTTGTGAACTTGTTAAGTCCTTGTATGGCCTAAAACAGGCTCCCAAACAGTGGCATCAAAAATTCGACCAAGTCATTTTGTCTAATGGTTTCAAAATTAACGAATCAGTCAAGTGTGTATATAGTCGATTTCTTAATGGACGAGGGGTTATCATCTGCTTATATGTGGATGATATGTTGATATTGAGTACCGACTTAGAACAAGTGCAAATGACAAAGAAACTCTTATCTGAAAACTTCGATATGAAAAAGTTGGAGAACTCAATGTGAATTTAGGTATAAAAAATTCTTAGAAATAATAGTAAGCTAATGTTATCCTAGTCTCACGATATTGAAAAGAGGCATTTTAATAAATCTGATTCTTTACCCGTCAGCACTCCATTCAAAGTAGGTTCCAGATAGACAACTAATGCCAGTACAGTATTAGCTCAAAATGAAAATGCTAAAGTTATTGGTAGTTTAATGTATGCTATGACATGTACTAGACCTGAAATTGCTTATGTCATAGGAAGATTAAGTAGACATACTAGTAATCCTGAAAAAATACATTGAGATGCTATAAATCGAGTACTCAAGTACTTGAAGAAAACCATGGACTATGGTTTTACAGTGGATATCCTTCAATATTGGAAGGATACACTGATGCAAGTTGGATAAATAATCAAGAAGACTATGTATCTAGAAATTGTTTTTCACACTTGGTGAGGGCACGGTGTCTTGGGGATCAAAGAAGCAAAGTTGTATTACAGATTCTACCATGGCGGCAGAATTTTGTTGCCTTAGCCTCTTAGTGTAAACAAGCAAAATGGTTAAGGGACTTGTTGATTAACGTACCCTTATAGCCATAGCCAATGCCACCAATTTCTATACACTGTGAAAGTGGGCCTACACGATCAACGGCATACAATCAAGTGTATAATGGTAAGTCCAGACATATCAGACTTAGACATAAACAAGTCAATCAATTAATAAATGATGGGGTGATCAGCATTAGTTTCTTACGATCAAGTAAGAACTTATCAGATCCTTTCACAAAAGGATTACCAAGAAAATTGAATGAAAGCACTTCAAGAGGGATGGGACTCAAACCCACTTATAAGTAGTCCCCATGATGGAACCTTGTCTTGGCACTTGGTATTTCACCGTCTCAAGATTAAGTTAAACTACATCATTTGAAAAATGATTGAAAGTTCTGCAATGTTTCAAAACCATCGCACGGTTGGCAGAACTTGGAATCGTAATGTTAATAGAAGTTGAACTAGTCCTTAATGGAACCCAAGTGTTTAAGTTATGGGTACACTCTTAACAAGGTCCACCTATCTGAATGTGAAAGTAAGGCCGCTTCCAATGACCTAAGGGCTTGGCTCTAAAGCATTCTGAGAAATCAATAACCAGATACATGGCCTTCAACAGGTAGGCCTATCTTACATATAAAGGAAGATCTTTAATGACTTCGGTTCAAGAATTCTTACCCTAGTTAGACTTGATCGCTTTCATTATGTGAAGGTTCAAGGTGCAAGACTCCACCTTTAGTTCTGCATAACAACCCCCCCTCCCCAAAGGATTTCCGAGCCGATTAGGTCTTGTTGTGTTGGTCTTTTTCAAAAATTGAGTCTATTTTGAAAATGGTGGGGTTTGTTCAGGAAATTTTCAAAATAGTATAAATTTTTATTTGTTTTAGGTTGAGTCAGAAGAGAAAACTCATTTTGGTGGGTTTCACACCTTGTCCCACATAGGTGAAAGAGTGGAACATAAGTGGGTGTATAAGTGGAATAATTTTCTATATATTAATGTAATATATTGGAAATGGTGGGGGATCGACATGTTTAATTTTTGACAACCTCATTAATGACAGCAGCAAAAAGATTAAATGGATCAATTAATTGATAGTTAGCACAGTTAATACAATAGGCACTTGCTTAAACAGTCATGACGCTTTGAAGCATTGCCAAATAGTGGCAGTTAGTGCCTGTTGGAACGATTGTGACAGTTAAAACGGTCGTGAAAGGTGAAACGTGTCAAATCGTGACAGTTCAAGGAGTTGTTGTGTATACCTATATACACCTTCATATCAACACCAAAAAGCACGCTTTTCTCATACTATATTACCCAAAAAGTGTCTTGCTATAGAACTGTTCTTGAAATCCTTGATTACTCAGTAGTTTCATCGGGAATATCACCACTAGTGCGGTGTTGATAATCGATCTACAAACGTTGCTTCATTGTATCTTGAAAAGCAATTCGTCAAAAAGCCAAAGCACACCCGGTGGGGGCAAAATTGCTTTAAGGATAAAAAGAACTAGCCTTGAAGCAATAAGTAGTAGTCTTTATTATATCATTTTTATCCTACATTTAGTACCCCGAAACCAACAGTTACAAACTGTTCCATAGCCGTTATGAACAGCATGACCGAAGGCACAGGTTGAACCTCACTAACGCTACTGGAAGCACATTCATTAGGGTCACTGAAACACTGATAAACTATCACTGAAATCCGCCTGACACTAAAATGCTTAGTGTCAGCTCTCTTAAATTTTGTTTAGCGAGACCAACCGGGGGTGGCCCCTTACCCCTGCCATATGGCGACATCCAGCGATCCCGGGTTCAAGATATCTTATACATTTGTGAACTCTGCACCTCCTGACTGATAATTAGGCTTAACTATCAACCCCTTCAATCTCTTGCGAATCCAATTACATATAACGACCTGATGAATCACTAAAATCGCCAAACATGACCTACTAAGAGTATTTGGTTCGTTCGGTTTGGTATTTGTTGAACTTCTATCAACAAGATGCTCCCCAATCAGAATTCATGATCCCCTCAGGGATCAAATCAAATTTGGTTAAAGTCCTTCTGCTAACAGTTTCATATATTCTTTAATTAGTAGTGGTAATTCATTGATGCTACAACATCATTTCCACCTTGTGTTTCCCAATCTTTCTAAATGATTGAGTCATTTTTTAGCTCTTCTTTTATACCTTTCTTGTTTGTTGGCGTAAAACCCTAAAATTTTGGTCCCAACTGCCAAAGTTTCAAGCTACTCAAGTGAAGTTCTAGCTGCTAAAGATGAAGCTTCAAGGTGCTGAAGTCTCAAGATGCCGCTATTTCAAAAAGTTGAAGCACAAGTTGCTGAAGCTGAAGCTTAAAGAGCGAGATGGGGAAGCATATGTGTCGGCACCAGCTCCTAATCAGGAACTAAAATGTTTCCCCATCAAATGTTTGCTATTTCTAGAGTTAGAAACTTAATATATGTATTTTGATGATTTATCTATTTGCATGGTGAGTTTAGTGTCTTTTAAAATCGTTGAGGCTGTTATGCACCCTGCAGAAAGGAGGCATCAGTTTGATGGCCATGCATACGTACAGCTCATGCAAACTGAAATGGTGATGCATATGTGCGAAGTGCAAAGTGCGCCATCAAAGCGCCACAATAAGCCCACTCAGACAGCCGCTTGCATAAAGGGTGCGTCCTCTTAGAGACCCCACCATTTCCATAATTTTTAGATTAATATTAAGGAAATGGTTCCACATATATACACATTTATTTCGCTCTTCCACGTATGTGGCACAAGGTGAACCCACCAAAACCAGCTTTCCTGGTCGTTAACATAAATTTGCATTAACACCTTACCAAGTTTCACTAATAGACATGAATATCCTCACAAGAAAGCATGCACCATGGTGTATATTTAGTACTGGGGAAAACATGTGTTTCATCATCACATGTTTTCTCGTTCTTTTCATGCCCTTATGCTCCTTATGTGTCAAAAGAATGCAATTTGTTTTATGAGAATCTTTCAATAATAGTTAAATACCTAAAATGCCTCTAATAGTAACAAAAATTTGACAAAACTTATGGACCAAAATCAATTTCACCAATATCTTGTAATGATTAATTGTGAGAGAACTTGCAAATTGTGAACCAAATATTACCAAAAGCGGAAACACTAAACTTTTCCGAGACTACCCAAAATAAAATTTGTGTTTTTTAGACCTAGTGAGTAAATATCTTTAATCACGTTCATATACATTGCAGGAACATTCTTCTTCCAAGAGTCCACCACATCACTTCTCTTGACACCTATCTAGGAGTACACAAAGTCCAAGAAACTCCGTACTTCTTCTTCTATCACTAGCATTTTTTAGATTTTATAGAGTTTTTTTCCATCATTATTCCTTCTTATGTCCAGATGTGCATGTTAAATCTTACCATGTAACTCTTCATAAAAGAACTTTCTAGAAAATTGTAGTTAAATGTGTCCGGAACAAGTTTAAAGGTCTTAATGCTAACCTATTGTGTTTTGTAATAAGAAAATGATGAGAACAAGGAAATCTAATAGAAGTCTAGGAACAAGTTTGATGCACTAAGGGACTAGAGGTAGGAGACTGTGCATAGGCTTCTGATGCCATGCAATCAAGTATCCTCTAGACCATACTGTGAACTAGAATTATACACAGACCGAGTTAAATAGTTGACATGATTCCATAAGGCTGCATTCGGTATGCATATGGGACTGGACGGGACAAGACTAAACGGGGGAGAGTGAGGTAGGTGGGTGAAAGGATTGTGGAAGGTTTTAGCATATTAATTTGACATGGATAGTTTAGTAATTTACCAATCTTGTCTCATCTCCATGATTTTTGTTCCACCTATTTTGGTTTTGTCCCACTCAATCTCTGTCTTCTCCTGGTTTATTGTCGCACCAAGCTTGGGACAAGAAGTTTTTGTTTTGTCCATTCCGGCACACTATAAGAACCATTTTATGATATAAAAAGAAATTTGATCAAAATTCGAAAAACGAATCATCGATCTCAATGACAAAGTATAATGGTTTAATGTTGCTCACCCGTGAAGGTACATATTCTCAAGACACAACACATGAATAACAACAGAAACATCAAGCTAAACCCTCCTTTACTAATCATGAGTTCTTTGGTACAGAATACAAACTTAGTTGAGTGGAGAAGAAATACCATCTTTGTTGAGTGAATAAAGACCATGCTTGCAAGTGATGAGCAAAATAATTGTCGAGTAAAGAAATAAAATGACCACATAACTATTAGAATACAGTTAGTTTGGTATAAGATGCATACTCTAATGCGCTTCTCCAGCTGCAATCGCCAGGTCAGTTCTTCAACTTCCTTTTCCAGTTTAGATTTGGCTTCTTGTAGAGCACCAGTGTCCCTTGCTGCCTGCAAGAAGTCATTTATAAGGTTTGCACACGAAAGTCTAGTGGCACATCTGAGCAAGGATTGTAGAAAATATCTTTGAACTATATGTTCATTCAATTCCAATAATGCACACTAATATGTACGAAGTAATCAAGGAATTGAAAGGCGAAGCAATAAGTAGATGTATGTCCTTGTAAATGTTACAGTGCAGGGAAGGTAATTAAATTTTACAAGCTCTATAAACTGATATTTAAGCACTAAAACAATCTAATGGTGATGCATATCAATTTTAGCTGCTGTGGTCTGATCAAACCAACAAGAGCAATAAAACTGCAGCATAATGAGGCTAATCAATCTGTTCATGCCTCCAGTGCTGCATGCTTGCAGCACTCTCAGACCCATATTAAGCTATAGCCTTCTTTCACATTATTGTGCAAGTGACAAAAACAATATTCGAATTAGACTTCAAAGGATATGTTAAATATAGCTGAACAAATTTCGATTGGGAAAAGAATATCAACAAGGATTGTTTTTCTAGATAATTTTAAGCTCAAAAACTAAACTATGAAAGAACTTAGAACAGATGAAAGATACAGTTACCTGTCTAAGCTTCCTTAGTTCTCTGCGTGCCAGTCTTGCTCTCCAGAAAGACTGAGTAGCTATTGCTGCTTTCCTCAACCTACAATAACGGAGGCGGGCCAGATATTGTCGGCATTGTCTCTGTGAATTGTCCATATAGTGTGTATCAGTCTAAGAAAAGTGATCACAGACACATTGTTCTAGTGAACATGAAGCACTATCGATACTACAAAAACAACATAAAAAACTTTGTCAATAATATAGGCTGTACAAATGCAATATTTTGGGCATGTACAGCAGAAACGGAGTTTTTTTTCCTCAGCAGAAGGAAAGAACAGCCAAATCCGATTTAGGACTTCATAAGTACAAGATAATCCCAATGAAAAGGCAGAATACACAAAGCATAAAAAATTATGAAATGCCATCATAAAACCATTCTGCCAAAACTCGTCCAAGCAAAGACAATAACTAAAGGTCATGATGACACTTCCAACAAAGTTAACTGAAATGGACCTGAAAAGTACTTCCAGTGAAGACCAACAGATCTGACAACACTATCACAGTTGATGTAATGTGACTCAACCAGAATCGAACCAAAGATCTTTTTGACAGCCTCTAAAATCATATACAGTGTGACGATGATGATGGCAATGCTACAATGACAAAGAAGATGATATAAACTCAATAACGTGCCAAAAAATGATCACAACTGCTCCAATTTGACATCTACAGAGACAGGGATTGATTATGATTGGTTCAGACAGTCGGTCAAATAGGAGAATGTGGTTCAGACTCATTTTGTCACAGGTACAGAGGTGCTGGCAACAAGGGAAAGTTATGGCTATATTATAGGAATACAGCTTCATATCTAGAGTCATGACATTCATAGCATGTCAAGTGAAGTCTAAAAAAAGTAACGTACTGTCAAAGTGCAAGTAATAAGCAGAAGAATCAGCCAACTATACGGAAATGTAATTGAACTTCAAAATAGAAGTGAATTGAATCACATATTATTCTGTATGTTTAACAAACTATGAGGAGCTTGGTAAGTTTCAGTTCTCATATGTTGAATATGTGCTAAATAATAGTGAAGCTGATCAGAATTTATGTCCAAGAAAGCTTGGATGGATGTGTTTTCATGTTATGTAACACAATAGGCGTAGTTCTGAATTTATTTTTGATAGTTCTCATTTTGAGCCTACTACAAGAGATTGGGAAGGAAAAAACTTTGCTACAGTTATTGCTGGTGATGATGGCGATGTTATAACCTAAAAGAACTATTGAAGAGAAGAAAATTATTATGAGTAATGACTTGTTGATTATCCCTCAATGTGACATAAATTGCAATATACCTGCATAATCACTGCTGCTGCCTCTTGCTTTTTGAAGCGAAATGTATTACGCGCAGCTAATCCACGCATTCCACTTTGAATTTTAATAGCCGAAGAGTATAAAAGTTTGTAAGATTTCCTCTTGAGAAACATGCGTCCATCTTTCTGGAGTCTCAGAGAAGCAACATCTCTCTTTCGGCACTCAAATCGATGACGTCCAATATGTCCTGCAGTCATTTATTTACTCAGGAAAAAACCACAATTCTATACTTCCATAAATACTCTTTTAATATACAGATGATACCAAACTATACCTCTACACACAGCTTGTAGCTGTATTGACGAAGATCGCAACATGTTAAACTTCTTGCATTCTGAATGGGAGAGAAATTTTCTCTGGACAATGCTAGCAGATCTTCCTAAAACCTCACTTCTCCGAGCATCTAGTTCTGCCATCTGACCAGCTCTGAGAAATATTTTTGTTTTACCAATCTGCAACAGTTTAATCAGGAATATAGCAACAGTAAGAATACTCAATGGAGATCTGAGCAGCACAAGCCAACAATTCCACAGGAACGCTCTTACCTAATTTGAAGAGGATATGTTAACATTTAATGTTTCGCATCGCACTTGAGACAGAGAAAAATGTAGTGAAAACAAAGATCAGATTTCACATACAGGTAGGAGCAACAATTTTCAGATTTACTGTAAGTCTGGCACTTATACTCACTATCATACACTACAAGAGAATAAAAAACAAGTAAATAGGGAGTTTTAAGACCCTAAACATCAAGATGGATAACATTGTGGTTAGAATTGGGTGCCTCCTTTGCAATGGAAAGAATTCCAGTGACCTAAACTTAACAAGTAGAAAACTCAAACTCCTTAACTGTCTAGTTCAAGCTCTCAGTTCAAAAACTTATGATGGAGAGGACACTAATTCACATGACTATTGTTTGTGTAAAATCTGATTTAAATTCAAATTGTTGTTGAAAGCAACTTGGCATGCAACTTCCTTCATCGCCTTGGAAGTAGCATGAACAGGGGGAGCAACTCACTATCTGTCAGAAGTGACTTTATATGTGATTTTGGAAAGTCGCTCATAAATTCACGTTAACAAGGGAGCACCTTATGTCCACCAGAAGCGACTTTGGAAAGTCGATCAACAGGTTGCATTCATCTAAGTGACTTTCTATGCGACATGTTGAAGTTGCTCTTATCAAGTCACATGTGGCCACCTCCGCCCATGGTCTTTTCCCCATTTGGGCTTCCATGTAAATCTCTGTCTCCCTAATTATTAGTTGTTTACTTGTGAAGAATTTGAGCAAAAGATTGATTACCAGCAACCCCAACCGGCCCCACAAGGAACCTGCCCCGTAGAAACCACATGTGAGAAGGCATTACAGAGCTCACATAACGGTTGAGGCTAGCGGAGGGATTCGAGCTTGTCTCCTGGAGGATTCGAACTCGAACTAGTTGTGTATTTGAGCAAAATCATTCTGCCCCTTAACCGGCTGCTAATACCCTGTAGGCTGAGTGCCAACTGAGCTACATGCCCAACGGCATTTATATACACACACACATACTTACTATACAATTTGACCATGAAACTAACTCCTATAAATAGTTAACTTCCCATATACTAAACTAATTTAATTTCCCGGTTTCCTGATATTTATAAGTTGGGAACTAATTCCTAACTCTGGGAATATTCAATAACTTATTTGTTTGAGTACACCAAGTATTTCCGCATCTCTTATGGTCTGGGTTTTTATTATTGTGTGGTGAAGCCTGAGATGAAGCTTAGTTTGGTCAAAATGGCTAAGTAACATAGTTAGAGTTTCGTTGTTTCTCTAGCTTCGTCTTCTCAACTCTTTGTTTTTATCTAGAATTAGGCCTCAAACAGACCAGAGCATGTTTTGCTTGTTTGTTCTGAGAAGAGGGAAAGATTGATGGAAACACAAATTCATTAAAAATAAGATTTAAGGTACCTGATAACCTTTAATCTTTGCCTTCTCCAGAAGCAGCTTGGAAGTCTTGACATCATCAGTGCTGCAGATGAATATCATATGAGACAAAATGGATTCCAAACATGGGCCAAACTACGATAATTAATTCTATCTATGTGTGTTTTGGCGTTGTCAGATGAGAGGATGTAAATCACTACAACAGGAGGTAAAAAAGAACAATATTTAGAAAAAAAATCAATACAACTACCTTTTTTTTACATCGTCAGGTGCAAAGATTTTGAAGCGGCCAATAAACTCTTTAAAAGGTTTACGTGTAGGAAAACCGGCACAACTGATCCTAATTGCCTCCATCACTCCCTGGAGTGACATGAATTTGCACTCTCAACATACATGTATATACAATAGAGGGATAAATGATAGATCCAAGGTGCTAACTTACACCACACCGCAGTTGTTGCAGTATATTCTGATTCTCAAAGATACCAGGCTTTAAAAGATTGTTCGGTTTGACACAACGCATGTAATGTGGCTCTGTGTGACTGAGAGTCTCAAGCAATGCTTGTAATTGTTGCTGTAAAGGTGATACATGAGAAATTGAGCTGAACTACAGAAAGCAAGTGCATGGATGTATTGAGTGAGTGAGAACAAAGTTATACCTTGAACCGAGTACCTATCGATGAGAACTTTGACGTTTTAGATGACTCTTCTGCTGCAGGTGGAAATAAGCCTGAGACAAAGGAGCATTTTGAAGCACTCAAGAGTGCTTGCTGTTCTGCAATAACATAGTCCTTGTTCTTATCCAAGAAAAACTCGGTTTGATACGTGACCTGAAAGTAGAACATCATGAAAAAGATATCAATGCATATTGCAGTTCTTTAGGTATCTTTGTGTTCATCAATTTCAGTATTCTAGGTATATGCCAATTTATTAAATTCTAGACATCACCATGTCGAATATATGGAACTAAAATTACATACCTCACCAGCATAATGATCAATGGTAAATGCTGAATTGGAAAGCTTTGGCTTGCTAAAGCGTTTATGATCTTTGAACGTCTGGAAAAGCTTTTCAGCAAAGGTTTCATGTGTAGATCTTGGAAACATGCTGCATAGGAATGACATTTTAAGTTCAATTTTAGATATGTAAAGACTACACTCAGTTTTCATGGCACATATAATTTTTCATGGACTAACAGAATACTTGGTAACTTCACAATAAATAACAGAACGGATTTGTGCCACCAGCCCAAGAAGACAGGACAAAGGCGCAGTTTGGTTAACTTTAGTCGAAATGGTGATGTATCACCAAGTAACAAAAATGAATATATAAATTGACAAAAATCATCCCAACTTTATGAAATGCCTACATACCAAGCCTCATCCAAAAGAGCAAGGATTCCTCCAGGTTTCTGAAGCAATCAACAAGTCGGTTAGATTAACAGGAGGGGCATAATATATGCAGCAAATTTTCAAAGCAAAATCTAACATAAAAGATCTGCATAATAGACTATTAAATTATATTCAGGAAGTTATTGGTACCAATGCACACATTGGCAATGTTGATTAGCAAACTTCACTAGACAGAATTAGGAAGTCATGGTGACGCAGCAAATAAGGGAAGCAAAATTTTCTGACCACAGACCTTCTCAATAAGATCTAGAATATCTTGATTGTCCACAAACTCTATGTAACTCCAATCGATTTGCTCTTTAGTATATTCTTCTTGCTCCATCTTGAAAACGTGCTGATAAAAGAAATTGATATACGAGCAATCAGATCAGACTAGCATGCTTGCTTTCACATAATTAAGAGCTAAGTGATAATAGTCCATACATCATTTCACAAACCTGATTAAAATGTTGCTGAAGTTTCTCGTTAGTCAGATTGATACAGAATTGCTCAAAACTGCATATGGCCGTTAGATTTTAAGTTAAACTAGTATAGAAGAACACCAGCTGATATGCCTAGCAAGAAAATACCACATCAGCAAAAATTCCTTATGCTTTTGTGGCACTCTAATTAGCTCTGGAGGAGGTCATTTTCAAGCCAAAACAACATAGGGTTTGCCTAAGCAAGTGAAAATATGATCATTTAATACAAGTAGTTCATTCAGGAGAAGGGAAGATGCATTTTGCAGAAGTCTTTTCCATAGATACTCATTCAACAGTACATTTAACATGACAGACTAAATTAAAGGCAATAATGTTCTCTCGTAAACAAACTAGAAGTTCGTTGCATGGAATTATTAATGCATATAAAAACCAAGGGATTTCATGCAGTGATCTGCAAGAAATTACCTATTTTAAATGATGAAAACAAAAGCGTACCAGTTAAGCACCTGTTTGTCTTGAAACTTTCAAATCCATAGATGTCCAGAACTCCGATCAAGGATTTTGACTCTGGATCTTGACCAATAGAATTATTGATCTTGCTTACAAGCCTGTTTCACACAATAAAGAACATGGGCTATAAACCAAACAAAAAAATAAAGGTACAATAACAATTTCCCATTTAGATCAAGCATACCAGTCAAATAATCTTGAATAAACTATTTTCGCCAAAGCATCTCTATTGACAACTGCAGCAATTGGATCAAGCGACTTTTTGATGCTCTCATCACGAGTTACAATTACACGCTTACAGAAGGAATCTTCAAGAGCCGCCTCATCACACCTAAATATGACGTGCATATTACAGCAATGCATTTAACCAGCTGTAACATTAAGATCTATGATAGACAGCTTTAGTAAATTGTAAGGCATTAAAATAAACTAAATAAAAACTGGTTACATTAAAAGTTCAGCTGCAGCTTTTAGATGAAACCTAGATTGATCATCCTTAGGTTTAGATGAATCTGGTTCTTTGTCCTTAACGAACTCAGTGTTTCCTAGGTGAAGAATTGCAGCCACAACACGGAATATAGACTCCTGTAAGAGGGAAAAGATTTAGATGAGGTTTTAATCAGGTGGCTTCAAAATCATCAGAAATATACAAGTACCTGGTCATCAGAAGAGATCCCAACAACATCCATAGCCTTTCTTGTTGCAAGGTACTCTTCTGACTCATTCACTCCACTCAGTTCATAACAGTTTGTTTGATTAAGGTAATGAAATGTCTTAGGCTTTCCCAACTTATACTTTTCACACACCTAAATGACACGTTAATAAACTAGTTATAAATGGTGGTGGATGATACTAGCTCAAGAATGCAAATGTGGTTAAGATAATTGCCACATGACTAGAAATCAAAAAAGGAGAGAAGCACCATGCCATTAATGATGAACTGCCGGATAAATAAATATCAAAGTAAGATGAAACAGATATTTCCCATTTGACAAAGATTCTATAAGTACTAAGTTCTTCTAGCCATCACATGAGAATTCAGTTCAACCGTAACCATTAGACAGCAGTGATAAGCTGTTCATAAGCTGAGTGACGTTTCATTTTTATGTTCAATATCACATGGAACCTATATTATCTAAACATGCAAAAAGGCACTACCAGGTACGACCAAGGAGACATCAGCAATCCCTGCTCCAATTTTGAAATCAATATTGCAACTACATTCACTAATTCCCAGCTTCAACTATCTAAAAGGTTTGGTAACATAATCTATGATGAGTATACATGTAAAAACACACACAGATATGATACATTTTTAGTATTAATTCTCACAGAGTAACCAAGTATTCAGATTTTCTCAAGACAGCCGATATGCATTTACACCTGTATATTGTATATTCATTGCCTCTATTTCATCAACATCCATCTTTACTTGACTTTTTGTTGCCCATTTCTAACCTAATATATTTAATCTCCACATATAAAATCGTGTCACAGAAAGAAAAAATTCAATTTTAAACTTAAGCGCTTATCTTGTTACACTTGCATTAGAATTGTCAATCACTTCAACCAAATACTCACACAATGATCACACATAGTATAATATTACATCACTATAAACTACAACCAAACTAACTCAGCATATCCCCCTTGGAGGTAGGCTCAGGGGAGGGTACGTATACTGGCCCTCTACCCCAAAGAGTAGAATGGCTGTTCCCTGAAAACCCCCGATTTGCAAAAAGATGTGTGCAAAAATGTTTTGGCTTGGTGATTTCACAAAGCTTGCCAAGAAGACTAAAGTTTTGGAAAAACATGAAGTGATTGGAACAAGGTTCTTTTAGAAGAAGCAAGACTAATCAAAAGTATTTGATATAAAAAGAAGTGAGTAGAATGCAGAACAAAAAATGTATGAGACACTACACAACTCCTTACCTAACGAAAAGCACCAGTAACCTATTCGACACCTCTCTACCCTGCAAATGTCCAACCAACTCCCTCTTGTCTACGCTATCCACCCACAGATCCCTACATCCTAGCCTGACATTGTGGAAACCGACATGATGGCAATCGAGACTTTCGTGGCGGTCAAAACCAAAAATGCAATCATGGTGACAATCGTCTTGCAAATTGGGCATCTACTCAAAATACGCATTATGGGAACTGCAATCAATGTGGCATTTGCCACATCCCTTCACATCGGAAACGCTCCACCATCTGCCACACTCGGTTGCCAACTTTGCCACTTTCCAAGCTCCATCTTCAGCTACCTCTACCTCGTTTCCTAAGACCAGACATAAGAGTCATGTTACGTCGACTTTAACAACAATGGATACTTCGGAAGCATATCATGGCAATAACGCGCTCATTTTGGTAATGGTGAAGGTCACCCGATCCTTCATGTTAAATCTTTGAAAGTTTTGTCAACAACAGAACTTTTAATTTGTCTAACATTCTTCATGTTCTCCAAACAAAAAAAAACTCACTCCCTGTTCAAAAATTTACTGCGGGAATCATGTCTTCTTTGAATTTCACTCCAACTTCTTTGTAGTGAAGGATGTGTCTGCACGAACCACCCTGCTCACCAGGCCAGTAAGAACAGCCTCTGCTCTCTTAGTCTTCCTCAACTCGCATCAATTAGTCGAGTTGTTTTTTTAGGCGAACTTGCATCCTCCACTTTTTGCCATCAACACCTTGGTCATCCTCATCAACGCTTTTGCATACTATGCTTTCTGGTTTTTCACTTCCAACTACTAATAAATCAACGTTGGCAGTATGCACTTCTTGTCAATTAAGAAAATCGTCAACATCCTCATCAACATTCATCCCTTAGCTTTAAAATCTTAGGTGTATGAGATGTTAAAAACAATTTGTCGCACCGGTTGAAAGACAATTTAATTGATTTGGAGTGAATTTCATAATCTTACTAGCTTTTCTCATCTCCTGGTATTGTTCATCAAAGACCTTGTCCTCACGGGTTCACCTATTAACAAAATTATTCCGTTGAACGCTGCAATTGACTCGTCGTCGAAATTGGTTTCACTCTTCTTGCCGAGGATAGTGTTACCAATCATTTTTTTTGGCACTATGCCTTAAACATGGTTGTATACCTCATCAGTAGCATGTCGTCTAACACCTCAAATAATAAATCACCCTTCTACCGGCATTTCAAACACTGTCCAGATTATCCTTTCCTTCAAGTATATAGATGTCCATGTTCCCCTATCTTCCTCCTTACAATCGCCATAATATGGATTTACGATACACTCCTTGTGTTTTCTCGGATACAACTCCGTTCATCAAGGCTATCGATGTTTTAATATACCAACAAACAAACATCTTTATATTGCTCATCATGCTTGCTTCAGTGAACCCCAGTTCCCCTTTGTTGACTTTAACAACACCACAACATCACCACCACTATAGTACTCGCCCACCCCTTCACTTCCATGTCTCATGGTTGTTGACACCATTCCTATCATTACTCCATCCATGCTACACCAGTCTCCTCATTTTGGTGATACCATACATGTCTCAACCTCCACCTCATCATACCTCTACTTCCCATGACTCAGGTTTCACTTCCACGAGTACCGCATTTCTCATCCCCAAATCCGTCAAATTCATCTACACCTCCACCCCCTACACTTCATCATATCATGCTAACCTCGACCAAAACCCTAAATCGCATGCTCCTTATGACCCATTGGCCCATAATACCCTCACCTTCCAATCACTGACCCCCCACTTCCTTTATTTTGCATACACATCTCCACTTCATCACATCATGCTAACCTCGACCAAAACCCTAAATCGTGTGCTCCTTATGACCCATTGGCCCATAATACTCTTACCTTTCCAATCACTGAACCCACTTCCTTTATTTTGCCAACACATCTCCAGAGTGGCGTCAAGCCATAGCTGGAAACTACCTGGTTCTCATTAAAAACGGCTCATGGTCTCTTGCACCTCGTGTACCTGACACTTATGTGGTTGATTGCAAGTTAGTTTACATGTTAAAGAGAGAAGAACGGTGTCATCGCTCGATACAAGGCGCGCCTAGTTAAAAAAAATTCATCAACAACCGGGAATTGAATTTCATGACACATTTAGCCTCGTTGTCAAATCTAAAACAATCAGAGTTTCTATCTCTACCGGTCACTCATATTGGCCATTATGTTAGCTTGATGTTCAAAATGCCTTTTTTGTATGACACCTTAAAGAAAATAGTTTACATGACACAACCCCGGCTTTGTTGATCAATAACGACGAGATCATGTTTGCCTGCTTCATAGGTCCGTCTATGGACTCAACATATCCTGAGGGCTTGGTTTCAACGTCTCTCCAAATCCTTTATTTCTCTTGGCTTTGTGGGTTCCAAAAAGGATTCTTGTCTCTTCATCAACGCTCATAAAGGTATCATCTTATGTATATTGGTCTACATCGATAATATTATTGTCACTGTAAACGCTAATGCTATCGACAAGGTAGTTAAATGACCCGACCAAGCCTTTGCTCTAAAAGGATCTCGGCCCCTTGAATTATTCTCTAAACATTAAAATTGTGTGCCATGGTTCACATCATATTTTCTCGATGAAAATACATTCTAGAACTTCTTCAACAAGCCGGTCACTCAATTCCAAACCAACACCACCGCCAATGACTGCTTCTAATCATCTCTCTGCACAACAGTGTTGCCTTCTCCGATCTGGCCAAATATCATCATTGTTGGTACTCTTCAGTATGCTACTCTTTCGTGTTCGGTGTCATACAAAAGGTGTGTCAATTCATGCATGCACCCATGGAAAATCATTAGCTCTCGGTTAAGCGGATTCTCTATTATCTTTATAGCACCATTGATCATGGCATGCTTATTCGATGAGTATTCGGCTCGACAATTCGAACTTTCATTGATGTTTCTTGGCAAGGAAGCTTTTCAAACAAAGATACACCTCTTGAAGCCTTTTTGGGGGTAGATGTCCTAGCGGTCATTGGTCTACGGGGGAATTTGCCATTTATCTAGCTTTTAATCTCATCTCATGGGCCGCTCATAAACAAGCACTGTTTCTCGTTCTTTCATAGAGTCGTAATTCAAATCCCTTGCTGATATTATGGCCGAGATTACCTGCATTGAAAATCTTCTTCGTGAACTTGGCATTCGTACTAGATCAACTCCTATCTTATGGCATGACAATCTAGAGACAACCTACCTCTCGACAAATCCCATCTTCCATGCATGTACAAAGCATGTAGAAGTTGATTTTCACTTTATGCAAGAAAAAGTGGCTCAAAGAGACATTTGGGTAAAATTTATATCTACGAATGACCAAATGGCCGATATCTTCACAAAGCCGTTACCAACTCCTCAATCCTCAAGCTACAACCTATAAGTCATTCGATGTCCTTAGCTTGCAAAGGCGTATTAGACTACATGTACTTCAGTGTAACTAGTATAATTATAAAGAGTATTTGAGTGTAAATATATACTCTATATATAGACCTTATGTATTTTCTCGAAATTCAATATGTGGAATACAAATCCTCCTATGGTAATTTATGTCTTAATCACTCATGAAAGTGGACAAATGCAAAGCATAAGGAAAGATAAAACAACATTTTCCTTGCATCTAATCCACAACAAGATACAATGACGCACCAAAATTTTCCATTTGTTTTCAGAATATTGTACCACAGTCCATATGGCTAAGTTACTATATATTAAGATCATTATGCTACATTACCTACTCTAGGTTCGAGCCGATGCATTGTCTAAAGTAAGAGGATAGTATTATGGCCTAATGTGCTAAAAAGTAACAAAATCAATGTGGTAGCATAGTTGTAAAGGGCCTTCACTTTCACATGCAAGGTCACATGTTTGAGGCTCACACCTTTTGCCAATCAAGAGCAGGTACTGCTGAGGCAACAAAAATCACCTCCTTGTATCCAGTGATGAAAAACAAATATAGCAAAATTAAATAAAACAAAACTGTGTGAATGCATAAGACCGGTTACCTTGGGAGGTGCAGCACAGAGCATGTAAAAACAATGATAATTTCTCTCAGGATCCGAAACTTGACAAACACGTGACTGCTCCAGCAAATATGTTCTTATAGCGGCTCCAGAGATCCTCCCCATTTCATTAAATTGGATCTCAACAAACTTACCAAAACGACTGACGTAAAACAACATTCGGTTAAAAGAAATTTACATGACCAAAAAGAAAATGCATTGGACGTTTGAAAATTTTGGCTAGCCTGAAGAAAATGTTCTCCTGTAAAAAGTCTGCACCTTGAATTATTGTTTCTGACGGTTTTGGCATTCCCAAATGCTTCTAGAACTGGATTTGACTGCCGAAAGAAAGAAATGCATGAAGTAAAGATAAATCAAATGTATTTAGTATTGATGCAAGTTTTATATCCATGAAGAAGCAGCAATAATGGCATCCAGAATTCAACATTAGCAGTAAGCATGAGATGCATAGGTTTCAAATAAATATTGCATATGTCTAGGATTTGCTGCTCCACTCTCCATCATCTAAAAATAAATTCAACAAATTTCATATTGGTGCAACCGTGCAAATTTTATATCCATGAAGAATCAGCAGTAGTGGAGCTAAGGATTTCAGTAGTAACAGCATATGTAACAGTAGAGAAGTTTCAGATAGATATTGCATACTTCTAGGACTTGCTGTTCCACACTCCTTTGTCCCTGAACTCCACGCCGACCTCCCATATAGGCAAGATACTGCATAAGACTTTTTGTGCTTTCTGTTTTACCTGCTCCGCTCTCTCCACTGACGAGAATTGACTGGCTGATTCCCTCATTAACCATCTGCCTGCATTTATACAAGTCCTTCATTCATAAATACAACAATAATTGGATATTAATAATAGAGACAAGCAGCAAGAGTATAATCAATGCCTGTATGCAGCATCAGCAATTGCATAAGGATGTGGACTCAGTTCCCCAAGAGCTGCCCCTTTGTATTGTTCCATCATGTGTTTGTCATATAAACGAGGTATTCGTTTGAAAGGGTTTACAGCTATCAAAATACTTCCTGTGTAAGTCTGGAAAACAAGTTCAGATGTTGATCTTGAAAATGAGTTATAGAATGGTCTGTCACAACTAAATTGACTCACAAGGATGAAGCTGTGGATGGTAGACTAAAACAGGGAAGAAAAGAAAGACAAACCACCAGTGGCATGTACTCACATAAATCTCATCCATACTGTATCGATTTCTTAGATTCTCTAGAACCCCTGGCTCATGGAGATAAGCAAGCTTTGTCATATCATCCACTCCGCATGGAGGAGCCTCAGGATCTTTAGGATACACATGGGATGCATTAGTGACAACCTACAGAATAAGAATGTATCAGGTAACCATGAAAAACCATCTGAAGGATAGTGTGGTCAAATGTCATTGTTATAACACTGTTACAACTCAATTCAGTGTCATTACAACTACTTTATGTTATTCTTATACTTTGTGTCAATTCAGATTATTTCATATGGTAGTTTGAACCAACTCCAAATAAGCAATACCTTTTGTTTCTCACTTTCCATTTTAATAATAATCTTCCCCTACCTCTTGATTACCTTGGTATCTGATATGATCACTCTTCTTAACTGGAAAATTGATGTTTTGATGGTGACATGTGCCAACCTGTTAAATGTCTCCCATGAGAAATCGTTAAGTGTATTTGGGTCAAAGTCTGTGTATTGACCCTGTTTTACAATTCAACTTGGTGTTGGCACAATTAATTGCAGTTTGCTATATTAATTCCTTGTGTCCCTTCAGTTGCATCTAGCAGACCAGTTTAAACCAAAGTCACGTAAACAATACCCTTTCTAAATTTCTTTGTGCACATTCATATGATCTTCTCCTGCCACTTGACCTCAGTTTCTGGTATTACCAGTCTAGTCAATTGGTACATTGAAAACCTTTATGGTGCACATGCTAAAAATTCATAAATATCTCCAGATTTGTTCCTGTTGGATAACCTTCTGTAATTAGAAGCTTACAACTCCTGCTGAATGTGAACATTTAGATCCAGGAAGAACAAACAAGGCTTGATAACTTTCACGGTATGTTATCTGCTATCAAAAGAATTACCCCAACTTAACTAATTCGTAAGTAAATATTTCCTACAGAAAAGAGAAATAAGATATAACAAGTACAATGCAACTTCAAGAGCTAGGTACAAGTTATTTTGGAATTGTACTTCTTGCAATCTTCAATCCTGTCAAATATTGCCTTGAAATCTTAGTGAAGGCGAAGGCTTAAATATAACAAGTGATCTTGGAAGATACATTGACAAATTCTAACAAAAATTATTTTTCATTTTCCATAGTGGGCCTTCCTCTATCTAGTATCATTAAATAATCTTTAAAGCCTAAGCCACATAGTCCTCTTTCATGCACTTGCTTGGTTTACACTACTCTAGTGACCATTTGTTTGGCAAAAATATAGATAACTGAATGAAGTCATGGGGTAAGAAGCCATTTGGTCTGGCAGAAGAAATAGCCACTAGATGTCATATATTGGTATAGCTTTTCTTTCATAATAACCCCTTGTAAATGTTTCTGAGTTCAGTTTATGCGAACATAGCAGGGGACTACTTTACTAGGCTCGAGATTTAGAACCTGCATTAAATATGAATATAGAACACAAAGAGAAGGTATGTAATTTATATGGTATACATGTTTCTTCTTGCAGGTCCTTGAAATATTATCTCTCTCTTGTTACTATCTTTTATGAATTTGTAACATCAGCTGTTTGAAGGTGATAGGTCTCGTCCATAATCAAACCCTACCCTTAATAACCACACAACCTCAAGAATATAATTGCTTCTAATGCAAAATTCAAATCATTAGTGTTGTTTCAGAGCTAAGGTATTAGGCCTGGTCCATGATCAACCTAACCCACAATATCCCTCCCACCCCCCACCCCAAAACAAAACAAAAAAAAGGTCAAGCAATCATCATTCATGGTGCCCATACAACATGGACTCTAATGCATGACCAGATGTTCTACTCTCTGTGAAGTAAAATCGTAACGAATTGCAAAATAAGAGAATAGATTTAGCAAAGAAAAAACTTACTTCTCTTCCTGATGAACACTTTATTTTAATGTTTGCACCTTTTATTTCCAAAACATCACCATCAATCCAAGCTACCTCAGGATCCTCCACCCAAACTTGAGATCCAACTATTATATTGGATGCCTGCATGACAAATGGGATATATGCTGATAAAGGGAATGTTTTTTAATCTACTCCAGTAGATTGATTGTCCACATCTATTTCATGAATGGTAGATAATAATAGAAAAATAAAACACCAGATAACGGATTAACACGTAATAAAAGAAAATAATGTGCAACTGCTCTTAATTGTAGAAAAGAAAAAGAAAAGCATAAGCAGTAAGCTGTTAACACTATAACTATTTCCAACTGTGTCCTTATTTCTCATTCAGATATCATACATAACTAATATAGACATCATGGTCATCATCATCTTCTTATCAGAAGACACAATCTGCTAACTCTATATGTATATATGTGTGTGTATGTATGTACGATAATTACACTGTCAATTTACACTTAGAAAATGAATATACAAAGTAAAAAACACAAGCATCAATTAGCAGAATAATGTCAGACTCCATAATTAATTAGCACATCAATGACTTGTATATAATGCAAGAAAAACTTGTGGAATGCCATTCCTCTGCCATACTCATCAATATTGGTCAACCCAAGAGCTTGCAACGCCAACATGAAGATCAAGATAACATTAAGGAAATTATGATGAATAAAAACCCTTACCATTTCGAAAAACAACCAAAATCCACAGCAGAAAAACCCTTAATTTCCTTTTTCAAAGCAGCAACGTCGTCAAAAACCACCCTAGATTTCCTAGCTCCGATATTTTGACAATGTACGTAAATGTACAAAGATCTAATATCAACCAGATAGCTCAAAGTCTGCTTTTAGTCGTAATCAAATCCTTATACGATGAATAACGACGTGGAAATAGAGGGATGATGGAGGATAGTGTAGAAACATTGGGGAAATGTTGCAGAGGCTAATAACAGTGATGAGACCAGGATTATTGAAGAAAGACCTCCGGCAACGTTTCCGGCGTCCCCTACATTAATATTGTCGGTTCTTGTGCTACGAAATTTGTTCGCTGTATCTCACACCGACCTCTTTGGGGTTTCTTTTCTCCCTTCTGTCGAACAACATGAAGCAACCAAAACGAAGGCGTTAACGACTTCCTATTTCTCTTTTTCCCATTTTGCCCTTCTCGCGGGGATTCAGTTTCCACTTTCCACTGCTTCTACTTCCATCCAACACAATTTGAAATAAGAACCCCCTCAACTTCTCTTTTTTTACTTTTCCTTCACATAACTTTCCACTCCCATTATGCGCTCTCTCTCTCTCTCTATTTATTTATACATATATATATATATATATATATATATATATATATAGACTTGGCATCATGTGAGACCAGCCTATTTCGTGAGACCCGTGAGACCAGCATTTTACACTTGAAACTTCACAGCAAAATGCTGTGAATGTGACTTTTTAAAACCTTCACAGTGTTTTTGCTGTGAAGGTTCGACTTTTTTTAAACTTTCACAGTGTTTTTGCTGTGAAGTTTACGTGTAAAAATGTGGTCTCACAGGTCTCACGAAAACAAGCTGGTCTCACGTGAACCCAACCCTATATATATATATATATATATATCCTATATATATAGGGGTGGGTTCACGTGAGACCAGCCTGTTTTTGTGAGACCCGTGAGACCACATTTTTACACTTGAAACTTTACAGCAAAAACACTGTGAAAGTTAAAAAAAATCGAACCAGCAAAAACACTGTGAAGGTTAAAAAAAGTTACATTCACAGCATTTTGCTGTGAAGTTTCAAGTGTAAAAAGATAGTCTCACGGGT